GATTCTAATTCGTAGAAGTATAGATATATGCAGCTCTGTTTAATTTGATGATTCTATTTTGGGTGTAGTTTGTCAAGAATATGCAGCTCTGTTTTATTTATCTGTAAACTCACTACTCAATATGGAACATATAAGAAATAAATGAATTGTGTCCTGAATTATTTTTATTTGGTAATGGAACATCAGTGAAGTATATGAAGAAATATGCAGCTTTTGTTTTTTATTAGGATGATTCAAATAATGTTTCTAAACTAAATTGTTAGTTTATTTAACTAACATTAAGGTTAAGAAGATGGATCCAAACATAACTGAAGAGATGAAGAGATTATTGTTTTGTTGTGATTAGTGTTCTTATTCCAGTCAAATATGCGATTATTGTTGTGGTTTGTGAACAAACATGATTTCGTGATAATAAAGATCAAAATCATTCTCCAATTATAAAGAAGAAAAGAGTCCATGAAAGCTCAAGTAAGTATGCCCTCTTTTTTTTTTGGTAAATAAAAAGATGTTAGTTCATTCTACATGCATGTAACAGGTGGAAACGAGGATCCTATTGACATTCATGATGATGAGGAGATGCAAGAATTCGATGAAATTGGACCAATGATCTTTGATAGAGGAAATCTCCCACACTTTGATAGTATTGACGATGGTAGTCAAATTCAATTGGATGAGAGCGATTATTTTTAGATTTTGAGTCTTTACTTTGAAGATTATGATTTTGGGTTGTTTGTATGACTAATATTTGAATGTTATTATTTAGATTTAATGTCCAAGTTTAGGGTTTAAGACTATTTTAATTATTTATTTACTTGTATGGTTATATATATTATTATTTTGGCATTAAAAGTAAAATGCTCGAATAGCTTACGCAACGCGCTACGCTATTTACGCTACGCAATATAAGGACCAAAACGCGACGCGATGCGCGACGCGCGTTTTAAAACACTGGTTTCAACCAACACGTCTTCAAGATACGACGGGTCCATTGAGGCGGGCCCGTGACTTGGCCCGTTTCCCTTCTTTGCACCTCAACCAAAAGAGGGCTGCACCTCACTTGAAACTAGAAACTTGAAAAATAGCTTCAAGGGCTACAACGTTCACTACTAAGCTCAAAAATCTCAACAAGAAGGAATCCTACATCTGAGATGGCGCGATAATTCGAGTCCTGACCAGTGGATCTCGCCAGTCAAGATGATTCAACGGTCAGATTTAAAAATCTAATAGTTGACAGTTCCGGGCAAGCCAGTTCGAATGCAAACCCAAAACCGTCTTTAATTAAAAAAATTAAATTAAATGTGGTCGTTGGATCTCCATCGATCAAAAAAATCCAACGACCGAGATTCAATTTGGCTGTCGGGCTGCCAACAGTCACCAGGCCCACCCGGCCCAAAATTATACCAAAAAAAAAAATAAAATTAAATAAAAAAATTGAAAAACTACGGGCCGTCTCTAGGGCCGGTTCTGGGCCAACCCTGGACGAATCCGACAATTTAAAATTTTTAAATTGGTGGTCTAGAAGTGGTCCGGTCAAACTGCGGGCTGAGTTCAAGGCCCATTGACCAAGACATGGACGGCAAAATAAATGTAGATTAAGGAAATAAGGAAGGACTAAAAGTTTGACTCTTGTAAGTTTTATGTGTGTTAGAATTTTAGGTACGCAAAATCCAAATTTTCACACAAAGAACAAAAATTAAAATACGCAGTGGAAAATAAATAAATACAACAGATTCAAAATTTGGCCTACAAGTTAAAATACTTGTAGAATAAGCCCACATGCCAAAATTCCACTAGAACGAATTAATTACAAAGTTTTTCATTCAATCCAAAACATTTAGTGAACTACGAAAAACACAAAACGTAAGTTTGATAATATCACATCAAGATCATCAAATAAATCATGCCGAAGAGAAGATAGAAAAACAAAACCCAATTACTCCAATATGCTCTAAGGTGTTTCTTTGGCTAGAATATGAATAATATCCTCAAGCTTGAAATCTTCTGTAAAACGATGCCACACATGCTGTTTCTCTGTCTTCTAAAGTACAAGAAAAATATGTTTGCTGCTCCCTTTTTTATTCTACACGTCCAAGGCTCTCTCTCTCTCTTCTTTTTTTTTTTATTTCTTCTTGCTCACTTTCTTTTTGGTCTCCTATTCCTTCTTTATCTCTTATTTCCTAGTAGAACCTTATTGAGAAGGAAACTAAAACAATAAAAAGAAAAAAAAAATATATGTTTATAATTTATATATATATAAACAAAAATTAATCAGAAAAGCAAAATAAAAAATTAATCAAAAATATGATTTAACAATGTGCAATTTAAGAAATACAAAGATCTGTATTCTATGAAGTGATAAAACTATATGTTTATAATTTATTGTTAAATTATTAATGTCCATTCTAGAATCAATTAGGTTGTCATTAGTTGGGCTTTGTTGTCATTAGTTGGCAGTGATCATTATTTGAGCTCTAGATGATTCTTCTAAATACTATATATATGTATGTATTATGTGAATGTAAGCCAAGAAAAGAGAAGAAAGTGAATGATCTGATAAGAAGAAAAACAAGCTTCTCATTCCTCACGTTTATATATTCATTCATAGAATAAAAAGTTCCTCTTCTCCATTATTATTTTTGCCAAATATAATTTCTTCTCAAATTACAACTATAAATTATTTTTGATACCAACAGTAGTATCAGAGCCAGGTTGGATCAATAGCTAGGCGACATTATTTTCAATATCCTCCAAATTTTTACATATCTTGTCCAAATACCGGTATTTTTCACATATCCTTCTAAATCTTTATTATGGCCACTTCCCATTACACCCATCAAATAGCAATTCCTATTTTTTCCGGCGAAATTTATAACTACTGGGCCATTAAAATGAGGACATATTTTATGTCTCAATGCCTATGGAATATTATCGAGAACGGGTATACTATACCCGATGACATTTCCACTTTGTCTACGGCGGATGAAGAAAAATTCGACCGGGAGAAGGAAAAAGATAGTTTGGCCCTTTTCACACTACAAATGGCCATGTCGGAGTCCCTGTTTCCGAGAATTAGCAGAGCACAGACATCAAAGGAGGCGTGGGATACTCTGAAGGAAGAATACCAGGGTAGTGACAAGGTACGTCATCTGAAATTACAAACTCTAAGAAGAGATTTGAAAAATATGAAGATGAAAGAATCGGAGACCGTAAAAGATTACTACACTCGATTAAGAGAAGTAGTAAATCGATTAAAAGCATATGGAGAAATTATTACTGACAAAAGGGTGGTAGAAAAAATTCTAATTACTCTACCAGCCAAATATGATCCTATTGTCACGACGACAGAAGAAACTAAAGA